ATAAAAAGGTCTTGTATTTTTTTTTTTTTTTTTAGTTAATGGTGGTAAGGATGATTGCAAGGTCACAAGACTGGCCACCTCTCTACATCTGCTCCATCCACTCCGGGCTCCGACGGGCAAGATCGACTCGAAGACGAAGGCAGGTGAAGATGAGCGAGATGATATACCCTTGCATGAACGCAACGGGTTGGGCTCCCCAACCCACAACCCTGTGATGGGGAATCATCATAAAAGAAATAACTCTCCTAGCAATAGTGTAAGCAGCAGAAGCAGCAGCGTGAATTCCACCTCGAGAAGCTTTACTGATGGCGAAAGGGAAGAGCATCCTGAAGGAGGAGGGGAAGGAAACGGTGTCCTTGATGATTGGGAAGCAGTCGCCGATGCCTTGTCTGAAGACGTTGGGAGGGACGACCGTCATCATTGTCATCATCCTGATCCAGTAGTTACCTACATCGTGCCAGCTGCCTCGTCTGGCATCCTAGGTGAGGCCCCTCTTGGAGGGAGCACCATGAAGCTGAAGCCTGTCCGGAGCACACAAAGAGCTTGGAGGCCAGACGACACATCTCGTCCTCAGAGCCTGCCTAGTATCTCTAAAAAGTGCATCTTCCCATGGAATGCAGAACGAGACCATTTGGTTTCCCGGCAAAGCAGCATCCTTTCCTTGCCGTCCCGCTGTCCTATCTGCTACGAGGACCTGGATCTGACAGACTCGAGCTTCCTTCCCTGTTCCTGCGGATTCCGACTTTGCCTCTTCTGCCACAAGAAGATCTTGGAAGCAGATGGCCGTTGCCCCGGATGCAGGAAGCAGTATGACTATATGTCGAGTGGTGGAGTCGAATATGGCAGGAACACAACTTCTATAATTCCGGTTGTCCCGTTTGTGTAGTATGAGTTCAAAACATAGAATAGGCAGGGCGAATTTTAAGTTCTACCTTTCTATCGAAATTATTGGTGTCAGATTATTACAGAAAGTTTATAGCTTGCTGAAAGAAATAATTGTGAATATATATAAGGATTTTTAGTGTGGTGTTTGGAATATTGGGTCTGTCTATGAATTCTATTTATAAAGGTTAAGTGTCGCATGTCTCGTTGTTGTGGACCTTTGTTGTTCGTTTATTCTTTTGGATGTCGCTCAAATTTACTTTTGTTGTTTATACTTTTCTTGGTTTAATCTTGTATGTTCAATTCACTGTATCAAACACGTTTTGAGTTCTAGTTCTTGTCGAGAAATTGTTTACCGGAAATGTGAGCTTCAGATTGTGATAAACCTGCTATGGGAATTACGCTAAGTTATAATTTATGTAGTTTTTGTATCATTGATGTAAGTCTTTCCTATCTTTACACTTTTGTTTGATCTTGTTTTCAAAAGTCTACTGTTTCTTACGTTCTTATTTTGATTGGTTATCGTCAAGTAAGTATTCAGGTTATGTTAACTGAAGCATATGTGCCTCAACACATTGTGTAATGCTATTTTCTTGGTCATATATGCTGTGCCACTTTAACGTTTTCTCATTGTCAGGCAATCTTCACATGAAAATTATTTGTGTAACTGTGCATCCATTAGTAATTTGTTTTACAGTTGCAGAGATTATGCCACAGGTAGTCAAGGATCTGAGGTTAGAAGGAAACTCATCTTCAACAATAGTAATTCTATTATCAATCATGCAGTCATCTCCGATAAATTACCAGCAACATGTTTGCGTTAGCTCGCAGTTTTAAATCCTGTTGGTATAATCTAACACCCACAGTCAGTCCAACAAGATCCACGGTTATAGTGACAGTTTCAACAGTCCCAAAACAAAGAAACTACAAAAACCTTATCAAACTAATGTCTACAAACATTTTGAGAATAAGAAAGTTGATTGAAACGAGCTAATTCATTCATTCATGAAGTTTGTTGATTCCTCACCCAGTTGTTGCACTATATATGGGGCAACCAAGTCTGCATGCCAAATTTACATCGGAAGCCAAAATAATTCATCTGTTGAAGCAAGCCACCGATAGGCATCTATCATATGCATCGATAACTGTTTCTAGTCTTCCTACAATATAAATTGACATAAAACCAAGGGATTTAACACCACAATCAACTTGTTTTTCCATCCAAAGCTGCAATAAGTTCAACTCGAGCCTTCTCCAGTGCATTCGATAGGTTCTCGGGCTTCCTTCCGCCTGCTTGAGCAAAATTGGGCTTGCCGCCACCACCTCCGCCACACAGCTTCGCTATACCTCCGATGAATTTCCCTGCCTGGATCCCCATTTTGACAACTGAGGGAGTAAATGCAGCAACTAAACTTACTTTCCCATCCCCTGGGCATGAACCCAAAACGACTGCTGCAGGATCTTGCAAAGAATCAACAAGATAGTCAGCAGCATTCCTTAGGGAATCAGCATCTGTGTCGTCCATAGATTCAACCACCACTCTGTAAGACAATGTTTTGTGCAGTTTATCAGATCAAGCACAGATATATGGAAAAATGATGAATGTTAGTAAGTACCTAATGTTGGTGGTTCCCACAATAAATGCTTTGTTCACAAGAGCTGTTGCTTTTAGTATCGCCACTCTAGTGCGTAGTGCGGAAACTTCATTCCTTGCTATTCTTAGCTCCTCCAGGATGTTCTCCACTCGACCAGTTACATCCTCTGCTTTTACCTTATGAAAGTGACATCATGTCAGCATGTCATAGATGAACCAAAGAACAAAATCTTCTACTAAATTACGAAAGCCATAAGAAACTGTAGAAACCAACATGGAAGGCACCTTGTAGATGATGAAAAACCTATACCCAATAAGCTCTTAACTAAAAAGATCAATGTGATAGTTGCTACATTGTAGATGCTGCTGCTTCTTATTTCAACTATTCGGTGTTACAATATTAAGAACAGATAATGGTTAGAGAACAAGCCTTTTTGGTACTGGACCATATAGCTTGGTACGTCTATATTTAGTTTTTAATTATTTTTTCAGTGATACCTAATGATACGATTTGGTATATTGCATGGCATCCCACTATAATATTGGTCTGGAAAGGGCCAAAACCAGTAAAAAACCAAAGTTTGAAAGCTTGATGAAAAATAAATCCATAACATGATCCTTCCCATTGCAGCTTTTCTCGACAAAATTGGTTTACCATTGTGAAACTTATGGAATTCTCACGGAAGACCTAGATTCTTGAGGACAATTATCATCACCAGATACTAACTTCTGAAAATTAGCACTGGGTTCCACTAAAGGAAAATCCAGGGAAGAATCTTCTTTAACAAATCATGATGTCAGTTGCTGGAGGAACTCAAGATGACATGCGATGCAACAGGAAAGTTTTTGGATTCCCAAGACTTGGAGATACTTCAATTCATGATAAATGAAGCCTATAAAGGATATGACATCTTGTGAATCATCCTTTTCCAGAATGATTATAACAGAAAATTTTCAGATAGTCCAAATAAAATAGAAAAATTAAGCAAAAACTAGTTAGCACATGAAAAAAAATGGGGAGGACTGCATACTTTGAGTACTGAGCATAAATGTCTCATGCTGTTGTCTCTAGTGGTGACATATTCAATGAAAGCTTCACCCGCAACAGCTTCAATACGCCTGATTCCAGATGCAATACCCTGTTCAGAGATTATTTTGAAACCACGAATCTCTGAAGTATTGCTGACATGTGTCCCACCACAGAGCTCCATCGACACGCCAGGCACCTCAACAACTCTGACCTGTGAAATACCAATGACAAGATAAGAGATCTTGACAGACATAAATACAGGGAAATTACAACTAGCATAGCATTTTAAATAGAAGAAAAATCACTGGCGACAGTCAATCATAGGAAAATGAATTAAATCTTGCTTTATACCCAACAAAGATTTTCCACAGTGAAATATAAGGAAAAGCAGACTAGCAATCATAACCGAAGCAACAAAATCAATAATATATTAAGCCCAAGAAGATAAATAAGAAATAGAGAAAACATCTGCCCGAACATAACTTGGCCAAAGACCATGACACAGACAACGATATGGCTGAACACACACACACCACAAAGAGTGAAAAGGGAAAATTGTTGATATATATACTTTGTTGCCAATTAGTAGAACTTGTACAATTACTATATATTGGCAATAGATTTAGGAGTTTATCTATCAAAATATTGCAATGTATTAATAAGATAATTCATGGAAGCAACTTAAATGAATGCTTTCAATTTTTTTATAGCATTTATTGCTTTGACGCGTACAAACAGTGACAAAATTGAAATTCTACATGTTTCAAACTTCTGAAGAATCAAACCTGCTCTCCATATTTTTCCCCAAACATGGCAATTGCACCTGCTTTCTTGGCATCTAACAAAGGCATCACTTTTGTTTGAAGTAGTGTTGAATCGTTGATCCACTGATTTATTAGTTCTTCAATTTTCATTAACTCATGTTCAAAGAGTGGTCTGTGGAAGTTGAAGTCAAATCGAAGTCGATCAAAAGCTACCAATGAACCTGCTTGTGATGTTTCCTGACCAATAACATTCTTAAGAGCAGCTTGCAATAGATGAGTTGCAGTATGGTGGACCTGGAAAATTGGATGCAGATATAAGATTTACAATCTATTATTGTTAAAGTAACAGAAAATATAAGTAGACATCAATATAAAATTTGATGTAAACATGGTAGTTTTGCTGCTCCATTAGGATGTCCAAACCCATCAATCGGTGAATTAGAATGTTTATGAAGTTTGATGAAGAAAAAAATTTTGATAGGGACCAAAGAACCATTTGAGGGGTCAGGAACTGATCTTGCCAGTAAGAAAATTCACTACACCAATTTATGGTAACTTCAAACAGAGAAAACTAGATATGCCAAAAAAGTTTATAAAAAGCAGAATTCTTACTTTAGCCCTCTGCCTTAGTCTTGGATCAACTATAGCATTCACTTCTAAGCCAACCTCTATTTTACCCTCTTTGATTGTGCCCTTATGAACAAAGATATTTCCAAGTGATTTCTGGACATCTTTGACCTCCACGATAGCTGTATCTTTGCTATCTTCAACTCCTTTGCAGCGCAGAAAGCCATTATCTCCAATTTGACCACCTGATTCTGCATAAAATGGTGTCCTGTCCAACATGATTTCTACGTCACTACCTTCAGCAACTTCAGTTACAGGTTCACCATTTTGTAAAAGGCCCTTTATGATAGCATTAGCAGAAAGCATGTCATATCCTAAAAATTCAGTATCAGGAACACTCTCAGCAAGCTCTACTTCATTCCCAACTGAAAGTTTCACTGTACTATGAGCAGCTTGGGATTGTCGCCGTTGGTTTTCCATTTCAATGTGAAAACCATTCATATCTAGACTAACTCCACGTTCTTCAGCAACTTCAGCCGTTATCTCCACTGGGAATCCATATGTGTCATACAAAAGAAACACATCTTTTCCAGCCAGACAAGGTCTGTCACCATTTGTGCTAGCATTTAATAAAGCACTAGCAAGAAACTGATCCAATAGCTTTTCTCCTCTCTCCAGAGTCTGCACAAAGCGCAGCTCTTCCCTCTTAAGCTCTTCAAGAATATGAGGCATCCTTCCTGTGACATCTGGGTCAATTTGGTTACTAAGTTCTATCACTATCTTGGCAAGTCCTGGCAAAAAAGCTCCATCTGGATTCCCCTCACCAGCACCCTTTATACCCAGCAATCTACCTATTCTAACAACTCTCCTTATAAGCCTCCGGACAACATAACCTCTCCCAATATTTGATGGTAGAACTGCATCTGAAATAAGATAAACAACTGCACGCATATGATCACCAACAATCTGGAATGAAAATAAAAGATGTAAAGATGGATTATAGATACCAAAAATGTGAAGGAATTATAAAATAGCAAACAAGTGAATACTTTAAGGTTGGTCTTTGTAGCATCATCTGCTTTAGCGTATGAAATCATTGCCAAATTTGCTGCCTTCTGTATGATTGGGAAAATGAGATCTGTTTCATAGTTGTTTGGAACCTGCAAAGTCTTAAGACTCTTAACTGAATTATGCAGTAATAAAAAATAGAATAAGTATTTTTTAATAAAAAATAAATAGCACATGAGAAAAATTACTGGTTATTATTTCATGAGTAATAAACTTAAGTTAGTGAGAAAAAAATCTTTTAGGCATTAAAGTTCTTGCTTAGTCTGTAACAGTAAGATGATGACAAAAAAAAAAAATCAGTGTCATTATATGCCTATTTATGATTCTTGCAAGGTAGTTGAACTTGAGTTTACTTCTGGGTTATATAGTAAAGTGCTGAAAGTACTGTACTTGCATACACCAGTTAGTGCCAGGCATGTAAGCAGAGAGGCACTGATAGCGCCAAGAGTCATCTCGTTTATGGACCTGCAGCCTGCCTACTCGCTAGCATACTGCAGACCATGTGTCATACATAATGGCACTTCAATGCATGATCTTCTCATAATGTTCCATGAATTAGCAAGTCAATTGGAAATAACCTTAGAATTTCCTGATTGCACATTAATACACACCAATCTTCTTGTATTTTGTCCTTTCTTCCTACATAATTATATTATTTTCATTAGTTTCTTATTTTTTGACCTATACAAACTCTGTCCAAATAATTGATCCACTGCTTCGATGATAGACAGCAAACTCACAAGAGAGTTTATGTTATCCCTTCCACAGGCTGAAAAGTTACACTGTTCTCAGGCAAGCATTCTGGCCATAGAGAAGAACCCTTTATCATTATGACATTTTTCAGGAAAACTAATGCGGTGTGACATTACCTGCTGAAGAATTCGAGCCATACGCTCAAGTCCCATGCCCGTGTCTATGTTCTTTTGCTTTAAGGGCTCAAGGGAACCATCATCCTTCTTGTTGTATTGCATAAATACTAGATTGTAGAACTCAATAAATCTGCTATCATCACCCAGATCCTGGAAATAATTATATATAAATGACACCAATATTTTGGAGAGTAAGAAAACAAATCTGGAAAATAAATCAGCAAATTCTTGAATGTCAATTTTGAAAATACATACAGCACTTTCAGAACCCCTCTCAGGATGAAAATCATAGTAAATCTCAGAGCAAGGGCCACAAGGTCCTGTGATACCACTGGTCCAAAAGTTGTCATCCTCACCCAGTCTCTTGATGTGTTCCTTAGGTACACCAACCTAGAAAATAAAATAACAAATAAATGGTTAAAAAATAGTTATTCTATTAATAATTTACTAAAATTATGTCTAATATGAGTAATGATGTATATGATACGACTAGAAACTTAGTAAATGGCATCAACTACAGACTTATTAATACCAGTTTACAGACTATAAAACAAAGAGACCTTCGAATGATTGGTACTGAAGTTCAGAATCCTTAAAAAAAAATGCTAGAATACAATATAAAACAGTGTGGATAAAATTAGAAAAATACATATATTGAAGGTATAAAAAAAATCATAATTTAAAATTAAAGTAATTTACTTTATTTCTTACCTCTATCTCTGTAACAAAAAATCCAGTAAAGCTAGGAGAACATAGAATCTATCCATCAAATAAGTGGTTTTCATGATAATTTCTCTTTTTCAATTGTTTGCATTTCCGTTTCATACCATTGTGAATCCACATCAAAGATAAGTTATATCTCATGTTAAAATCACATCTTTTTCATTAAAAAAATTAGTCTAATGTAAACACAAGGTCTCGAAGGACTTCTATGCAAAGAAAAGCACAGAATGCACCAAATAGGAGCATATGACTGACTAGCAGACATATGGGTTGTATCCATTATTTCTACTTTTTCTTTGGGCAGCTTTCCATTAATGTAATCCTATTCATATGGCTACGCCATAGGCATTATCTAAAGCCTATCTGACCTTTAAATTAGCCCTTAACAAATCAATTCAGAATACCTGCAGACATGGCTTATAACTCATTTCCCCTCATGAAATCAAATTTTGCAAGAGATACTATATTTTTAACCATACTTCTTTTTAGAATCAGCAAATAAACATTTAAAATCAAGGATATAGACAATTAATAATTGTCTAAGTCACCAGTGTCCCATTCACTTATTGCTATGAAATATTTATAATGATTCATGCTGTTGTATTTGACTAAAATTTCAGCAAATTGATCTGTTCAGATGACAGCTCTAATTCGATATATGAACATGACATAAAATCCAAGATATATGTTAATCACCACAAAGCAAAAAAGGGTTTTTACATTTTCAAGTGTATGTTAGTATGTTATGTCTTGTGATTAGTTAAAAAAGAAGAAAATCAGAACTTATCTGGTGCCATAGTGTCATACCATCAAGAAACAAAACTGACCACTGACATAGAATTAGTACATCAAGTATCTTACTTCATCATGCCATATAGAGAAAGCTTCATCATCATCCTTGAAAACACTAATCCACAATCTTTCAGGAGGCAATTTATACCTATAAGAAACAATATAAAAAGAGTGAAAACTGACAACTAAGAAAAGTTCTATATAGATGCTTACTGAAGCTCTTTGAACTTATTTAACTGAAATATCAAAAAAGCTAGAAAACCTGTAGCAGCCACATTTGGTAAAGAGACATAAAATACTAACCTCAAGCTATTAAGTACATAAGCTTTCACTAGATATGACTACATAGAGGCCTATTTTTCCATTGACCTTTGTGCAATGTGCACAAAGTTTCTGTAATTATTAAAAATTAAAACAACAATTATAGATTGTACCCAAGCGTACATCTCATGTGAAAGTGAAACAACAATTATAGTTTCCATTGACCTTCTAACTCATGAGGCGTAGAATAGGCAAATGTGAAAGATGTGATAACAGAATTACATTTTAATAGCAAATCTAAAATTTCTTCGATGTAACCGTTTGGTTTCTTAGAAGAAAATAGTTAACTGTGAAGAACAAAGACTTTAAAATGCTTACCGTGTCTGATATTTGTCAGATAGTTTCCAACATATACTGGATACTCCAAAACACAATATGATATGTAGCTCATCTAGATATGTCAACATATGGTTATTTGTTAAACACTAATATAAACTATATAATGTTTTAAAATGTATTAAACACTAATTAAAATAAAATATAAGTTTGATTTGGCAAGCTAACTTTTATTTATTATATTTAAATCTTTAGCAAGTTCAAAATGTTAGAAGAGTAAAAGTGAGGATTAATGTAATGTCTCTAGCTAGTGGAGTAGATAGGTTCAATATAACAGCTCCAATTTACCAATATAGAGTTCATGGCCCTTTGGGAAAGAAAATTATGCATACTCCTTGGTTGTAAGTTCCCATGCCCATACGATTGCTTCCTTCTTGAAATAATCACCAAAGCTGAAGTTTCCAAGCATCTCAAAGAAAGTATGATGTCGAGTTGTTTTACCCACATTTTCAACATCATTTGTTCTTATGCACCGTTGAGATGTTGTAGCACATGGCACACTTCGGGGTTCCTACATGATAAAATTAGCATTTTCTTCAGGAAATAAGAAGAGTAAACAATATACAATCACATAGAAGAAAAAAAAACTAGAAATATATAGAAGAAATAAGCAAATACAATAATATATAAAATAAAAAAAATATAGAAACATATAGAAAAAAACCATATACAATCAAATAACAAATAAAGAACAAATATTAAGAAACAGTTTATCATGTATTCATCTGGGTCATTCTAGCACTTAGCTATCATATAAAACAAAAGGATCCCATTAAAACTAAATCTCTCTAGGATACCATTAGAAAAATGGATTTCCATGTAGCTTTCTACTAAGTCTTGTTGGTTGAAGTATTGAAATATTTTACAGCTTTACCCAAACAACTGAAACTCCACAACTTTGAACTATGGCATCAAAGTAAAAGTCCAAATTATTTGGTGTCAGGGAAATAAGACCATTTCTGACAAGGCTCCAACTCCTTTTTACAGAGATGTTACTTTTATCTAAGTTCCTTTAGTCTCCAGTTCCCCCATCTGATACCCCCAACATGCACCACATATATGTTGTTTGTTATATGTTCCAACTCCTATTGATCGTAATAAAATTTTTGCATTGTATCCTCAACTGAACATGCAAACCTTGTGTGAAGTCATCATTTTATTCAATCTTTTTCAGCAGCAAAAGTTGTCCCTCTCAATATCTGTGGCACCACTAACACTATTCTTCAAAGTAAATGCATATCCTAAGTGCCAACAATCAGCATGCCTATTCTGTTGATATCCTATGATATTTGTCTTCTAATATATGGGTTACTTGGCTATCAAGAGACAAAGTGAGCACAATTTTGCTGCTCGAAATGTCCTATTTAATCTTCAGATACTAAATTTGTCCAAGTAATGCAAGCTCATATTTCTAGTATTTCTTGAACATATAGATGTATTCTACCTTCTTTTCTTTCTTTCATAGTCAGTTCAACTCCATAACTATCATTTACAGGTTTATTCGTACTTTAATCATGGATTAAGTATTAGTCATACACAAACCTCATTCTTTATACATTTCATTAAATCATTCATAATTACTGCAAATTGATGATGCCCCAGTGCAATCCTCCATGTTAGAACTTTAGAAATCTCTTTTTTATATATGCTGCATAATGAATGACATTAATCATCTCACCATATTAACCATCTTACTACATAGCCATCAATGCATATAGAGAAACACAAATTACTGGAAAATTATCTTATGGTTTTCAATCTGTGCAAACTTTTGGACTTCTTTCTAACCTTTTTTCAACCAATATGCAGGTAAGTAAAAGAAAACAAATGGCATGACCCATTGCACAATGTTACCATCAATACAGACTCTAGAGAGGGTAAATATATAAAGCCATAACCTTCCAAATTTGTGCTTTACCAGTCCATATGTGACTTTCTTCAACTGGAGTATATATTACATGTAATATGACAAGATGTAATTTTCAGTATTTGAATGTGTTTAATTATCTTCAGAAGCAGCTTAGCATCCTTTTCCTAGCAAAGAAAATATTATTTTTTCCACAACCTAATAAAAAGGAACTCTTTTAAGTAGTTGTACCTTGCCAAGAAATATAGGCTTAAACTGCAGCATGCCAGCAATAGTAAGCAAAACTGTAGGGTCATCTGGTACAAGAGATGCACTTGGGAGTATCTTGTGACCTCTCGAAGCATAAAAATTAAGGAAACGAGTACGTATTTCATCCCCACTAATAGGGTAGTCCTTATGCATATCTTCTGTGATGTCTTGAGTCATAGGTTGGACTGAAGCTGAACCGATATGTGAACAAAAAAGAAACATATATATCACTGGAGGCCATCAGAGTTCACATCTCTAAAAATGAGAGATGGCTTTAAACAAAACACCAAACAATAGAGAAAACCTGATGTGCTTCTTGTTGAAAACTTTACTTTCTTTGGCGATGTCAGCTTGTAAAGATAAGTTGAAGATACTTCAACATGAGTTTGCCTAGCTTTGCTGACACATATCATGCCGTTGCAACCTAAAACCAAATACGATATTGTAATGATTTATGCACATTTACTAGAACTGCATAGAAAGGTGAACAGAATGTAAAAGTACTCTTTGGGTAAACTATAGTTGTTATGTATAGAGAGATAGAAAATAACTCTAGATTTGAAAATATCATTTAAGGTACTCTTTTTTTTAGTAAATTATACCTTAAAAGTCTAGAAGACTCTTTTTTTATAGGTTCACACCCTTCCTAGATGTATCCATGACTCCTATTAAGACTTAGAGTTCCCTAATCGACCCCATTTGGGTATGGTCAATGAAGATACAGATGGAGACCCCGTCAACGGCTAGCCACGCTTGCTTGGTGACCAAGCTAGTTAGCCAGCCCTATCAAACTACCAAGTACAAACACGATAGCAATGTGACTCCCCCTCTATGTCTTCATCTTCTCCTAAGTCGATTTAGAGTAACTTAGTAATAGACCCTCTAAGTGACGAAGGAAATGTTAGACTACATGACCCCATGTCCTAATCCGAGCCTTTGGTTGATACCCAAGGCTGCCCTTTGGTCACAGTAGTAAAGGCTCAAGCCTCATAGATAAGAAAGAAGTCTTTAATTTAACTAAACTTGCATCATATAACTTAGCAAAGATCTTCAACATATTGAAATCAGCAATGAAATCAACAAGGTATCATACAACATGATATGTTGGAAACAATCTACCCCATGATCATATAACAAGAGGGGAGGATAACACAAGCAGAATGAGAAGAGAGGACCCCCACCCTAGCACCACAGCAGTGGCCAACATAAGTGGAAAAGGAGGAGAGTTAGAAGGCAAGAGACACCTTGTTTTGAAACCAAAGGATACAGTGTAAGTCAACTGTAGAATGTAAGAATGCGAAATCAGAACTTTTTTTTTTAATCTCTTTTTCCCTTCCAATAAAGGAAAAAATACCTCTCAATTGGTTGACTCTTTTGGTTTTCTTAAAGAACAGAATCTTTTTTCCCTTCTTAGAAATAAATCTTTTTTTTTTCCAAAAACAAAAACTTATATTAAGAAATAATCCTAATACAACCAGTGCTCATAACATCAGCACTCAAAAAAGAGGATAAAGGATCAGGCCATTGATCCGTCCACGAAAAAACAGATTTGGTTGATAAAGCCTTCTCTTAGAAATAAATCTTAATAGATGCTTGCATTAACCTTGAACTTACAATTCATAATAAATCTAAAACTCATCAAGCAAGGTCATTGTAGAGGTAAGCCTTCTAGGCTCTGAGCATTTTTAAAAACTTCAAAAAGTATGCATCTTAGTGAAGTCTATGAGCCTCCATTTTTGAGTCTCGGATGTGCCTTTAATTATGTTGCACCGTGGTGCCAAGAAAACCTTGTTTTTCATGCAAACTATGCTAACTTAATCCATCATTCTTTGCAAACTCGTAAGAGAACACTGTAGTTGAAAAAAAAATCCAGTTACCTGAGCTACAATGTGTATTACAAATATGTCTGAATAGTAACTAATTTGCCCTTTGCATAAAAAGATATATAATATTCATGTGGATAAAAAAAGATTCATGTGGATACTAAATTGCACTTTGCAAAAAGAGGACAAATCTACAGAGTTAATGATAGCATTGAGAAACAACAAAAACAATTTTTTCCATTAGAGCAAGCTTATAGTAATGTCTGTCAGGCCAAAATTTTGACATTAAGTTACACATACGCTTCCTATCGGGTTGCAACTTCACCACATATATTACAGACAACCAAAAGTCGTTCACGACCAATTGAACCTTTTTTCCGTATCACTGTTGCCACCTTTCTTGGAGCCTAAATAGACAGACAATAATACTGTCTCTAAATGAGAAAAGCATATGAAATCGAACTGCTCCTATTCCTACATACTGCAGCGCCTCGTTCTGAAACTAGCAACGCTAAGTTCTTCCCACTCCCAATCTCAAAGAAAACTTAAGCCTAAACAAGGACTGCTACCAAATATTGCCACGCCTCAATTGTTAATCAGAACTTCATTAGCCACAAAATGCATGACCTTTCGAGGAGAAAAACAGTTAGCAGGAAGCTTTGATTCTCGAGGAGAGAGACGCAAGGTGTTACCGCGAAAGGGGCGGAGGCCATGGCCAAAGGTCGCCAGGGAGAGGCGACGGCGCGGCCGGGAAGCGGCGGAGACAAGACGGAGGGCTATCGGAGACTCCACCAGCTGCAGTCCCCCCATCGGACCTCTGGTGTGTGCGCCTGTCGTTCCTCGCGACCCTGCGTTCGGTTGTGTATTTTATCTTCTCGTGTGCTTATCCGCGTCGAATTGTAAGGGTGTGAACGAAAGTGTGATTCTAACCGTTGGATAGAATGTTGTATGCTGTGTCGTAGGACTTTCCGCACGATCAATCGTCGAGCTGAATTCCGTTCGAGTCAACGCAGTGTCTCTTGCCTCACGACCATCAAATGCCATCGATTTTTTGACAGAAGAGAGTTGAGTAGACTTGAATTGAAGCACAAAACAAGAGTTCTGATTTTTTCGATGAAGGAATTTTTTTTGAAATAAACCTTAATAATGGTGAGAAAAATCCTAACTTGTGTGTATAAATATAATTTTATAAAGGAATATTTTTTATACTTTGATTATATTAATGAGGAATTCATATGACTTGTTGGACGTTGAAAATCTTTACCACCCAAGCAATTTTTCGAAGATAAAATTTGGGATAAAATAAATAATGAAGACCTGTGATGTTTAGCATCAAATTATTTGGGCCCCTGCGAGGATGATTTGCCACAGCAGCGGCGACGGTGGGCCGATTGGGTCGCCTCTATTTGGCACGATCCTTGGTCACGTTAGGGGCTCACTTACAGCCTGCTACCATAGCACTTCGGGCCGTATCGGACCGAATACATATGGTGCTCACATTAGCGGCCTGGTTTGACGCATCGTGTGATCTTCGTCCCTTATACTTTGAGAAGCGTGTATAGATGTGATTAACGGCTGTCGTGTTACAGAGCGGGCGAACACCGTAGTCCACGTGTAAGATCTCCATTGGGAGATACACGTGTCCTTTTGTTTTCAGATCTTTGTTGCCATTACCCAAAAGAAAAAGAGTTTCTTAGCTTATATTCTCGATCGCTTTTATGGTTTGCGAGTTATATGTAGTTTCCGCGATTAGCGAAGCACTTCGATAGCTAGAAATTAAAAGAAAATGTTGGTTGCTCTCCTCTTCTTCTCCGCTCTCCTTTGCATCGGCGCCCCGGCGAATGCCCTATACTCGCCCTCTTCCCCCGTCGTCCAACTCAATCCCTCCAACTTCAAATCCAAGGTTTCTTTCTGTGTTGATCATGTTTTTGTGCTATTTTGTTGTCGGTGTTGGTTGGTTTGGATTCGTCAGCTAACGATGTCGAGGCGACTGATCGGATCAGGTCTTAAACTCGAACGGGGTCGTGCTGGTGGAGTTCTTTGCTCCCTGGTGCGGCCACTGTCAAGCTCTGACCCCAACATGGGAGAAAGCAGCCACCGTCCTTAAAGGTGTCGCCACCATCGCCGCTCTTGATGCCGATGCTCACAAGTCCCTCGCTCAGGTAGAGATCATGGCTCTCCCAAATGGTTGTGCTCATTGAGGATATATCCATTTCGAGATTGAGATTATGCTCGCTATTCATGGTCGACTTCTTGGTTGAGCTTGGAATAAATATATTTTTCGAGTTCTTGGTATTCTTGATGGTATGTTTGCTTAGTTGAAGGTTTCCTTGTAATCATGTTTTTATTGTATAAAGCAGATTAGAAATTGATATCTGAGGGTACTTGTTAGCTGGATAAGCAGTTCCGGAATTCTTAGTGGATGAATTGACAATTTTATCTGATTATATCATGGTGAAAAGTGGTCTGGAGTCCTTCTCTTTGTGTATTATATAAAGTATATTTAGATACGAGATCTGGAAGTAAATGTCTGGATGTTGGTTTGGGTACTTGTATCGTTACCTAGCAGACATCACAGGGATCACTAAGGGAGATGAATCACAGATTCTTTAGAAATTTATTAACGACCAAAATTTTCAAAAGAATTTCTGTCGCCGTATCTGCAATGACGCCAATGGAGATGAGCTCAGAGTTTTCATCACTCAGTCCTTCCAAGGTTCAACCATCTTGGTGGTTTGTAACTTTGTATTATAGTTTTTTTTGCTCTAAAAATGTCTATGTATTCTCTCTGTATAGGTTTGTTAATTTTGGTTTAGCAGTCGGTGTTCATACTAAATTTGCAAATTTTTGGACAATGTTTTATTCACTTACATATTCTTATATCAGTTATATAATTCAATTATTTTACAAAAGAACCATGTTTTATTTTATTTTATTTTTTTTATCTTCATTGTTAACATTCTTTCAGCTCTAATTTGGTCATCACATTTTCTTTGATAGGAATATGGAATCAAAGGATTTCCTACGATCAAGGTATTCTCACCTGGCAAACCCCCAGTAGATTATCAAGGAGCACGGGATGTAAAGCCTATTGCAGAGTTTGCTCTCCAGCAGGTTTTTTTATCAGTAGTCTTTTTAAAATTTAATATGTATACGTCTGATATGTTATAATTTTTCAAGCAAGACATTCAGATCTTTCTTTACCTTGATTTAAGATATAATGTGTATTCTTTCTCTCTTCTAGTGGTTTATCATATTGACATTAATCTAAAGGCACATATGGACATTCAAATTTGTTTATGATATGTATCTTCACATATTCTTGACTAGTTATACAACACAGCCATTTCCCATTCCTTGTTTGTTCTCTGATTGGTGTATGTATTTGATGTGAATTTATTATAATGACATGATACTTTTCTTCAATTATCTTATATTGGGTCATATCAAAAATTTCAAATAATATCTAGTTTTCCAAAAAAAAGTATAATTGTGTTTACTAGAAATGTATGATATAGTTTAAATGACAAATAATTAAGAAATTTTAAATTAAGAGTTGTATTCTAGTAATGATGCTATATATTTCTTTTGCTTAAGTCATAGGAAATGAGCTGTAAGGGATTGACGGAATATTATGTTGTCCTATATATTATGGCCTAGTATCAATAACATAAATAGTAATAAAAAGAAATCAGCAACATGCTCAGCATGGTCTACATACTTTCCCTAAGAGTTGCTATTTGGTTGCATCATTTATATTGACCAACAACATGCAGTAACATTCATTTTTTTATATATAGAAAATATTCCATTTTGCAACCATTCTGCATAATAAACCAGACTGCCCATGTGCGTGAGTCACCTGATCTTCCTGATCTATCTTATGACTGTATCTGCTTGAATTGCATTTGATAGGGTTGATTTTATATTTTAAAATTCTATTTTTAGTCAATCTCTGATGGATCAGTTCAATGCTTTATCTTCTTAAGGAGATAAGTTTGTTGTCTCTTGGCTTGAATATATAGAAAGTGACACAGTTGCCTCATGAAAACTTAGCTTACAACTGAAGCATAGTAAAATTTCTAGTTTGAAAAAATTGCTGTTCTTATACACCAGAGAATATGAATATGATGTATTTTAATTTTGAAGTTCTGTCATTAGTAGAAGTTATTTTTCACTTCTCTAACCAAAACATAGCACAGTAATATAAACTGAAAAACAAATTACTTTATTATTCTTATAAGTTATTTCAATTTATATTTTATATAATTAGTTATTAAATAATTCTATATTAGTATATTCTAGCAAATGACCATTTTCTGTTAGTAAATTCCTGGATATGATAGTTTACCTTCCAATGCTGTATTTCCTTCTCATTTTCCAGAACTTCTATTGTATATTGCTTCTGCAACAGTGTCTTGTGGTCATGGAAACATTTCTGAACAATGATCAATTCAGTTTCTATACTTTGTTCTCAAACATTCATGTTCATAATGGAATTATTTAAAAGGATTTTGATGTATCTGAAAGATCTCTTGTTGGTTCATTTTGCTATCCTACTTGTAAGAGAATCTTCCTGTCAACTAGTTATGCTGGTTAAGGAGTGAAATTTGAACTGATGTTGAACTAACTAGAATGAGATTTAGAGGATGCATAAGGTTTTCTGTTTCATTACATTATGGATGTACCTTGTAGTTTATAGTATATACTTCATTGCTCATGAGCAAAGGGAGAGATAGTTGCATATAATTTTTGATGTGTTGTATTTAGATTTTAAGACATCATGTGCAGAAAAGTGAAAAAAGAGAATGCATGAGCTTCTGCAGATTATGCAAAACTAGTAAATGGTTGCTTTTACAATCCTCTATCTATGATGAGAGCACTAAATACATTTTCTAAATTGGCGTTATTTCTCATGCTAGGTTAAAGCACTTCTTAAAGAACGATTGAGTGGCAAGGCATCTGGGGATTCAAGTGAAAAATCTGAACCAAGTGCTTCAGTTGTATTGACTTCTCAAAACTTTGATGAGCTTGTCATCAAAAGTAAAGACGTGTGGATTGTGGAGTTCTTTGCACCATGGTATGCTGCTGTGTGATATACTTATCTTTATCTTATTGTTGAGTTATATATCGTCTTTCTTTTCTGTTTGTCCAATTTTTGGGCTTAAATTGTTCAAAGTTCAAAGTAGTCATGTTGCTTTAACTTATTAGTTGCTATCGATCAGTAAGTTTAATGCAAGCTAGATAAACAAGCATGTTCTTTATAAATATTTCTTCGAGTTATCAGGGTTTCTTTTTGTGTTCAATAATCTTACTGAAAAATACATGTCAATTCAAAAAAATTAACTATTATCACAAAAGAAAACTTATTTAAGCAATTTTTTTTTGTAAACCACAAGATAGCCAATACTTTGGCTTGAATGCAACATCTGAGAAGGCTTTTTAAATATCATTTAAGCAAGGTTGCAAATATAACTGTGTGAAAATAATCCTTTTTACAATTTTGATTGTTATTAATTTATTTAGTAGAGGCACTTTTCAACATTTTGTCCCCTATTGCAAGAGTTCCTACTATCTGTCAAATATGGCAATGCTCTTCATTGCTACTGACTTTCTAAAATGTATATAGTTTATCAAGAGGCACTTTTGTAGTACGTCTACATGGTTTAATAAAACTACAACATCTCGAACTATTAAGGTAAATGTTGCATTGACATTGCCACTGCATAGAGAAAGATGTTTAAAGAATTAGTATTTTGGATGTTTGTTGAGGATCATACAAACAATTTGGTATTGTTGACATAAAATTTCAGAGGTCTGAGAGGAAGGGTGTCACTCCAAGAGCCTATGCCAATGTTGAACAATT